ACAGAGAGAAGGAGAGAGAGACAGACACAGATCAGGCAAACGGAGTGACAAGATACAAGAGACAGGAAAACAGAGAGGAGAGACAGTCAGGCAGAGACAAGGAGAGAGAGACAGATCAGACAGACAGATAGACAAACAGACAGGTAAGGAGTGACACAGATCAGACTGACCGAGACAAAGAGAGAGACAATGAAAGACAGACAGCCAGAGAAAGAGGGACAAATAAACACAGACAGAGAAATAAGGGAAGACAGACAGACAGTCAAAGAGAGGCACATGGAAAGACACAGACAATCAAAGAGAGAGAGAGACATAGAAAGACAGACAGTCAAAGGGAGAGAGAGACATGGAAAGACACACAGACAATCAAAGAGAGAGAGAGAGACATGGGAAAGAACAGACAGACAATCAAAGAGAAGAGAGAGACATGGAAAGAACACACAGACATCAAGAGAGAGAGAGAGAGACATGGAAAGACATCAAAGAGAGAGAGAGAGACATGGAAAGACAGACAGCCAGTCAAAGAGAGAGAGAGACATGGAAAGACAACAGACATTTGTTGGTAGGCTTCCTGGTCTGACGGATTTCCGATTAAGGTTTTAAAGGTTATTTATTTATCGTGTGTTGATTGGCGGGGAGAATGCAGGTGGAGGGAGAGGGGGAGGGGGGGGGGTGCTGTTTGTTTTCGTTGAAGCGGTTACTGTTTTTTTTCCGGTGTGGCTAATATGTGGCAGGTCTCCTTGCTCTGTTTTGGAAATTCGGGATTTATTTATTCGGGTGGTTTGGGTTTCCTCTCATTCCTGGTCTCCTTTCGCAGCTCTTTCTCACTCTTTCCTCTACGTTGCCTCCCTTTTTTTTGGCCCAACCCCACCTCCCTTTCCCCCCAGTCCCCCGCTTCCCCTTTTTTCTTCCCCAAGCCCGCCTCCTTTCTTCCCAAGTCCCCTCCCTTTTTCTTCTTCCCCCAAGTCCCACCTCCCTCTTTTCTTCCCCCAAGTCCACTCCCTTCTTTCTTCCCCCAAGTCCCACCTCCCTTTTTTCTCCCCCAAGCCCCTCCCTCCAACTGCCCCCCCAAGTCCCACCTCTCGAGAGAGACGAGAAAGAGGAGGGGGAAGGGGGGGGGTGCTGTATACTGAACGAATGAACTTCTGAAATTCATGGCTTTCAGGCGAGGATTTTGGCCCCGGATATAAATGAGATTGGATTAATGGATTTATAAGCCAGGTGTCCGTACTGGGGGCGTAGTTGTGGGTTTCTTGATGTAATTGAAGTTTACCAGGATTTATGGCGATATTTTTCGTTTGTGGGGAGATGCTGGCGTATCGTTAACAGTTTTTTATTTGCATTTTTTTCCTCGAATATCAGTATGAGGTTGGAGAAGTGTATCCCGCTTTTTTTTTTTTTTTTTTTTTTTTTTTTTTAACTGCAAACAAGGGAAGTTCTAGATGCGATCGCGATTGAAGATTTTTTCTTTTTTTTCGAAAATAAAACTGATCAAGTGTTCATGGTCTGACTTAACAAAACGCCAGGCCGAGTATTGAAGATTTTTCTTCTTCTTTGATCTTTCAGTTTTAGGTAGATGCATTCAAAAGAGAAAGGGGAAATGGCCACAGCTTGGAAAGTTTATCGATAGAGCAGTGCACTTGCCAAGCAGAAGCCCACGTCTTTTACTGTCGCTGTCAGTCACTATTCGCATCGGAAACAACGCCATGGCCTTAAATGCAGTTGATATATTCAACACATGGGACTTTTTTGCATAATTTTAAGTAACGTGATACGAAGGTGGCTTTGTCTAAGACACTGCATTCGTACATACGGCTTTGTATTCAGATGTCTCGTATGTAATCTAGTTGATTATCTGCTTCCTTTGATAGTCTGCGTTAGACTAGGTGGAGTTTCTCTGCCGGATGTCGCGACAACGCTCTCATACTGTCCATTTTAATCTTTAATCGCGCTGATAGCACTGATATCATTGGCAGGTAATGGTACTGAATAGCATGACCTTCCTTGGGGAAAAAGTGCTGATTTGGCTAGCTGATGAACCTTGCGGCAAAGAACACCCAAGAATACCCCTTTCCGAAGGTCTGGAATCCGGTGCACGCCATTTCTGGACTGAATGCAAAAAAAATATGCGAAGTTCACCAAGCCTTTAGTGATAACCAGGGGGCGCTCCTGAGAACAACTTTGCTATGGTTAATGGCTATTGCCTCAGGTATCGCTAATCCGAGATATTCGCACACTTTATTTGCAACAAGTGCCAGGAACTAGGACACCGATACCTGCTACCAGACGAGGGTCACTGGAGGCACTGTAGCAGATGGCACGCGGGTCGTCGCTACGAGGGATGCAGAATTCCATCTGTTTATCTAAGAGTTTTGGGGTCTCATGTTGATTTACCGACTCAGGGCCCTTACTACTCAGCTTGAACGTATACGATGGTATGGTAGATAAAACGTTGTTTCAGGATTGTTAATAGCATCATTGTTGTTCAGAGTCTGGGGAGTTTTGGTCTATGCTTTGAATTGATATATATAACTATAACTGATCTCGTTTTGAAGTCTGCGGTCTGGGTAGAAACTTCAGAAGTCCGATACCGAATATGGTGTTGATTGTGTTGATTTTGAGGACGACACTCTTGATTTGAGGGACGATCCAGTTCATTCCTCGCGACGCTAACTTTCGACATCAAGGAGTAAATCGACTTGTACAGATTGGACTGGTTGATCTACATCCAAACAGCTGTTACTAAACGTTTGCGGTTCGAAAGACGTGCATCATTTTTTTTTTTTTTTTTTTTTTTTTTTTTTTTTTTTTTTTTTTCCCGAGAAGTGCATCTTTTTTTTTGAGAAGCTTTTCTTTGCGAGCGGAACTAGTCTGGCGAAACATTCGTCGCCGTTTCGAATTACAGACAATCATACAATCGGGAGCGTAATGGGACGCGCCACTCGGGAAGGAATTTGATTTATAGAATTACTCTTTATTGGTGGAATGAGGGACGATTGCGCTTGCTAAAGAGTACCAAGGATATCTCTCTATTCCCTGTCTTGCTTGTCTCTCCTTTTCTCTTTCTCCTCTTCCTTCTATTCTTTTCATTTTTCTCCGCTCCTCCCTGCTTCTCCATCATCTCCTAATCTTTCCTTCTCCCTCTTCCTCCATCATCTCCTTATCTTTCCTTCACCCTCTTTCTCCATCATCTCCTTATCTTCCTCACCCTCTTTTCTCTCCCTCCCTCCGCTCCCCCCTTCGTCCTTCCCTCTTTCTTACATCTGTCTCCCTCCTCCTGTTTTCCCTACTTCCTTTTCTCCTTCCCTCTTCCTCCCTCTCGTCTTCCTTTATTCTCTTTCCTCCCCTCCCTTCTTCTTTATTCCCTCTTTCTCTTCCTCTCTTCTCCTTTATTCCCCCTCCTCTCCTCTCCCTCCTTCCACCCTCCTCTCTCCCTCCTTTCCACCTCCCTCTCTCCCTCCCTTTCCACCCTCCCTCTCTCCTCCTTTCCACCCTCCCTCTCCCCTCCTTACCCACCCTCCCTCTCCCCTTCCCCTTCCCACCCTCCCTCTCTCCCCCTTCCCACCCTCCCTCCTCCCCCTCCCTTCCCACCCTCCCTCTCCCCCTCCTTCCCACCCTCCCATCTCCCCCTCCTTCCCACCCTACCTCTCCCCCTCCTTCCCACCCTCCTCTCCCCCTCTTCCTCCACCCTCCCTCTCCCCTCCTTCCTCACCCTCCCTCTCCCGCCCCCTCCTTCCCACCTCCTCTCCCTCTCCCTTTTCCACCTCCCTCTCCCCCTCCTTTCCACCCTCTCCTCTCCCCTCCTTTCCACCCTCCTCCCTCTCTCCCTCCTTTCCCTCTCTCCCTCCTTCCCACCCTCCCCCTCTCTCCCACCTTCCCACCCTCTCTTTCCCTCCTTCCCCACCCTCCCCTCTCTCCTCCTTCCACCCTCCTCTCCCCCTCCTTCTCCCTCCCGTCTCTCCCTTCCTTCCCACCTCCCTTCCCCCTCCTTCCCTCCTCTCCCTCTCTCCCTCCTTCCCACCGCTCCTCCTCCCTCCTTCCCACCTCCCCTCCCTCTCCCCTCCTTCCCACCCTCCCTCCTCTCCCCCCTCCTTCCCACCCCCCTCCCTCTCCCCCTCCTTCCCACCTCCTCCCTCTCCCCTCCTTCCACCCTCTCCTCTCCCTCTCCCCCTCTCCCACCCTCCCTCCCTCCTCCCCCTCCTTCCCACCCTCCCTCCCTCTTTTTCCCCCCCTTCCCCTTTTTCCACCCCCACCCCTCCCTTCTCTCTCCCCCTCCTTCCCACCCTCCCCTCTCCCTCCTCCCCCTCCCTCTCTCCCTCCTTCCCACTTCTCCCTCTCTCCCTCCTTCCCACCCTCCCTCTCTCCCTCCTTCCCACCCTCCTCTCCCCTCCTTCCTCCCTCCCTCTCCCTCCTTCCCACCCTCCCTCTCCCCTCCTTCTCTCCCTCCTTCCACCCTCCCTCTCCCCTCCTTCCCCTCCCTCTCTCTTCCCTCCTTCCCACTCCCTCTCTCCCTCCTTCCCACCCTCCCTCCCTCTCTCTCTCCCCTCCTTCCCCCTCCCTCCCTCTCCCCTCCTTTCCCACCCTCCTCCCTCTCCCCTCTTCCCACCCTCCTCCTCTCCCCCTCCTTCCACCTCCCTCCCTCTCCCCTCTTCCACCCTCCCTCTCCTCTCCCCCTCCTTCCCACCCTCCCTCCCTCTCCCCCTCCTTCCCACCCTCCCTCCCTCTCCCCTCCTTCCCACCCTCCCTCTCACCCTCCCTCTTTCCCTCCTTCCCACCCTCCCTCTCTCCCTCCTTCCCACCTCCCCTCTCCCTCTCTCCCTCCTTCCCACCTTCCCTCTCCCTCCTTCCCACCCTCCCTCTCCCCTCCTTCCCACCCTCCCTGAGAAGAACGCCGTTCATTACAATCGACAATTTTTATTTATTTATTTTTATTTTTTATTTATTTATTTATTTATTTTACGTATTATCTAATCCTATTCAAGGTCTTCTTCACACTCATAATGTATTTCGTTGTCCACTTTTTAACGCCGTAAGCAGCGTCCTTCCCCGGCGCCAGGGAGCGAGGCCTGGCAGCGGGAAAATGCGCAGGGAATAGAAGCAGGAGACAGGTGACGTCACTTTTTAAAAAACTAGACATTTTTGGCCACACTTTTTTTTTTTTTGGCGGTGGTCGTAATCAGATTTGCTTCTGTGAGGGTGTGGGTGTGTTGTGGGTATGTGTGTGTGTGGTGGGGTAATGTGGGTGTAAGTGTGTGTGTCTGTGTCTGTTTAATAGCGGATCCACATAGCCGCCTCCATGCACGCCCGCACGCCCGCGAGCGCCCCACTGAATCGCGTCTCCCCGTACCAGCAGGTGTAACTACGCCCACGGGCTGGTGCAGCTGCGAGGCGCCGCCCGCCACGGCAAGTACAAGACGAGGAACTGCCAGTCGTACCACCACACGGGCTCCTGCCGCTACGGCGCCCGCTGCTCCTTCATCCACGACCCCGAGGAGGGCGTCCTCAAGTGCTCCATCGCCAACAAGGAGGTGGGTGGCCGCCCGCGCCTCCCCCGGCGCCTTTTCTTTGCTTTTTCCGTATTTTTTTTTTCTTTTTTTTTCAATTGTCTTTGTTTGCTTTCTTTTTTTTTTGTATTATTTTCTGTTGACTTTTTTTTTATTCTTTTGTTGTCCTGAAATTTGCTGTTTTGTGTTTTTCTTTTTTCTTTTTTTCTGTTGTTTTTGTGTTTATTTTTTCCGTTGTCTTTGTGTTTGTTCTTTTTTCTTTTATTTTCTGTTGTCTTTGTGTTCTTTTTTTCCTTTTTTTTCTGTTGTCTTTGTTTCTTATTATTTTTGTATTATTTTCTGTTGTCTTTGTTTCTTTTCTTTTTTCTTTTTCTTTTCTGTTGTCTTTGTTTGTTTTCTTTCTTCGTTTGTGTATTTTAATATGAGGTATTGCAGGGCTTTGGTTTCTGGGTTTCTACGTTTTTTCATTATCTTTGTGTGTTTTATTTCTTCGTTTTGTACTTATTTTTGTTTTTCTTTGTGTAAGGTTTGTGTGTTTTAATGCTAGATTGTGTTGAAATGAGGTCTCTGGAAACTCAAATAAAAGTAAAATTAGGATAAAAAACATCTGAAAATATTTGAAAATTGTATGAAATTTCAGTCATAAATTTCACACCGAAATTTTAACGGATAGAATAAAAAAAAAAAAAAAAAAAAAAATGCTTCCGACACGTCTCTCGCACAAAAGGAGCTTTACCTTAAAAAAACAACTGAATTTCGTGTTTTTTTTCTTTCTTTCTTTCTTTTTTTTTTTTTTTTTTTTTTTTTGGGGGGGGGGGGGGCAGCAGGTTGACCATGAAAATCTGATTGGTTATTGATGCGCATTTTTTTTTTCTGGGGGGGGGGGGGTGAGGGGGAAAGCAGGCTCTCTCTCTTCAATCTGTAACGAACTCTTCGAACCCGTGGCATTTGAATTTCGTTAAACTCTGGAGGCAACATTTGATGCTGGACGTGTTACTCGTTTAATATTGTCTGTAACTCTTTTTTCTTTTTTTCTTTTTAACATTTAGTGAAAAAAAAAGTTAGCGTGGAAATGTGATCGATCACTTTTGAAGTTGTGTGCGTTTTATAGCCTACGTGAGTTGGAGGTTTGAATCGTCGCTTGGCGGGTTGGATTCGCGATCGTCTTTTGTCTCGCGATCGTCTTTTGTTCCGTTTGTCCGCTTCGATTCCCTTTTGTGTTTAGTCCATTTATTTCACCATTTTCGCTATGATTCTCGCTATTGTTTAGGTATTTCTAGATGTCATAAAAAAAAAAAAAAATGGCAACGATGTAGAATTTTCCGCCAAAATCCATTCGCGAGACTGAAGGATAAGAAATGAAACTGGCGGTCAGTATATTTTATTGACTAATGTCGTCTTTTCCCTTCTTTTCGAACGCCAAAACAATGCGTGTACGAAGTCTGTGCATAGGTTCGCGTTCAGTTGTAAATAAGAGAAATCAGGAAGAAATAGAAAAAAAACACCCAGCAAGTGCCATTTGATCACCAGGAGCAACCATTAAAAAAAAGAGAGAGAGAGAGAGAGAGAGAGAGATAGAGAGAGAGATAGGAAAGACAGGCAGAGATAGATCGAGATAGAAAGACAGGCAGAGATAGATCGAGATAGAAAGACAGGCAGAGATAGATCGATAGAAGACAGCAGAGATAGAGATGGAAAGATAGAGAGAGAGATGGAGAGAGAGAGAGAGAGAGAGCATTGCAAAAGAATAAGAACGAGAGAGAGAGAAACAAAGAAACAGAGATACAGACAGACACAGAGACAGAGAACGAGCAATGTAAAAGAACGAGACAGACAGACAGACAGACAGACAGACAGACAGACAGACAGACAGACAGACAGACAGACAGACACACACACACACACACACACACACACACACACACACACACACACACACACACACACACACACACACACACACACACACACACACACACACACACACACAACACACACACACACACACACACACACACACACACACAGCATGACAGCATGACAGCATGACAGCATGACAGCATTGCAAAAGAATAAGAACGAGAGAATAGAGAGAGACAGGCATTGCAAAATAATAAGAACGAGAGACGGAGAGATTTAAGAGAGAGATGGAGAGATTGTCAAAAGAGAAGGAGAGCGAGAGCGAGCGAGCGCGAGAGGGCAAGAGCAAGGCGGCGACATTAGCAAGCCAGTTCCCGCAGATTCAAAGACGAATTAAGAGTCGTCACGGCGTTCTTAATGCGAGTCCGAGGAGGTTCTTTGGAAAACGGAGGCCTAAGTTTACGAGCGAGCATTAATCACCAAGTTTGCCTCGCTCTCTTGTCTGTGGGAGGAGAGGAGAAGGAGAGGAGGAGGAGGAGGAGGAGGAGGAGGAGTGAGGGGTGGTGAGGTGGGGTTAGGAAGAGGGAGAGGAGGAAGAGGAGGAGGAGGATGTGGGAGGTTAAGGGGGAGGAGGAGGAGGAGGAGGAGTGTGGGAGGTTAAAGGAGGAGGAGGAGAGGAGGAGGAAGAGGTGCGGGAGGTAGGTTGATGGGGAGGAGGGGGAGGTGAGGAGGAGGAGGAGGAGGAGGAAAGAGTGGGGAGAGGAGGAGGAGGAAGAGAGAGCGAGAGGAAGAGGAGGAGGAGGAGGAGGAGAGTGCGACGAGGAAGAGGAAAGAAGAGGAGGAGAGTGCGAGAAGAGTTTGCTAAGCGGGACGTGAAAAAGGATGAATGCAGGAAACAGGATTCCTGATGATGATTTCATGTGGATAGATGGAAAGGGGAGGTGAAAGAAGCGAAGAGAAAGAGGTGAAAAAGAGGAGAGGAGAAGAGTGTGAAAGAGGTGGAGGAGATCGGCGGATGACTGGGGGGGGAGGGCAAGATAAATCAAGCATTTAGATTTTAATCAATGCAATCTGGGGAAATCAAACCAGAGCGGGTACATTGCTCACGCATGAGGTATAAAAAAAAAAAAGAAAAAAAAAAAAAGATTAAAAAAAAACTGTAAAATTCCAGCTCCACTTGTTATTGATGAGTCTCCCTTGGATAGCTGCTCTATCGAGTTTGTTTATCGCAACATTTCCTTTTTTATTAGAGGAGTTTAATCGCACGCTGGAGTATTTGGACTTTTTTTCATAATTTTATTGCAGTATTCTGCTTTTTTTTTTTTTTTTGTATGATCCTTTCGGGTTTTCTTGGTCTTTCACATTATCGCCTTCGTTAGCTAGTTTTTAATCTTAATTTAACTTTTTTCCTTGTTTATTATGTGTTATAAGCAGGTTCTTTCATTACAATATTTTAACTTTAAAGAACATTTTCCTATTTTGTTACTTTCTCAACTCATTAGCTGTAGACGTGCTAGTCAGTATAGATAGATATATCCCCTATCAGTAGATTTATTCATTTCTTTCCCTTGACATTCCCCTTGACATCTGTCCTGCCTCTGACGACTGTGTCCCGCAGGTGCTGGAGGCGCTGCACTACCGGCCGGCCAGCGAGGACGGCGGCCGCACCGCCAGCATCACGTGGCGGCTCCTCGAGGCGGCCACCGACCCCGTTCCTGAGCTCCACCTCATCGCCTGCTCGAGGCCGCTCGAAGAGGAGCTCAGTCTCTTCCTCTCCTCCTACTCGCCTCCTGAGGAACGCAGGACGACCAGCAGCGAGAGGATCGTAGCGCAGGATGACGAGAACGTTTTTGGCTTCGCGCTGCCCCACCGGAGCGACGCGAGAACGGAGCGGTTTCGACAGAACGTAGACCTGCTGAGCACGCTGAGGTCGTGCGAGCTGGATTACTGCGCCTTCGGGGACAAGTTGTTGCCTGAGGCGCCGCAGCTCTTGGCCGACGCATGCCACAGGAGGCCTAGGACGAAAAGCGAGAGCGCGTGCCACGTGCTAAACCAGGTGTTTCCGACGGTGGACGGTGTGGGTGATTCGTGTCTCGTTGTGTCCGACATCCGAGGACTTACTGACGGTCCCCAAGGACGCCTGGGAACTCGACGACGACTCCTTAAGTAAACCGGATAGAATCACGTGTCAGGAGGTGGATCGCGAGGACCTGAAGGAGCTCGAAGTGGTGCAGGATATCCTCCACAAGGCGCCAGTCTACTCTGCGACCGTCTGGAGCGACGGCACGTGTGACGTCAAGGAGGAGGGTCGTTGCGCGTCCATGTCTGCTCGCGGCGGTGCTGCAGACGGAGGCGACCAGAGCTCGGACGACGAGGCGCGGCAGAAGAGCCTCATCGCCCCCTCGTGGCAAAGGGCGAGGAGCTGCGTGTGCAAGAAGCGGAGCGCGGCCAGGAGCAGACGCAGGAAGCGCCGAGGAAGGGCGAGCTCCCTGAGCAACGAGGAGCCTTCGTGGCTGTCCGTGCACTCCTCGCCGACGCGCGACGACGACGACTTGGTCTTCTCTAACACCCTCCGGAGCGACGACTCCGAGGAGGACCGACACCTGGGGGCCTCGCTGAGGTTGGGCGCCAGCGGGAGCGAGGACGGCTGGTCCGAGTACGGCATCCACCTCGCGGACTTGCTCCGCTCGCTGCGCGTCCAGGACTGCCACCAGCAGGTCCCCAGGGCGCGGACGAGCTGCAGGCACTCCTCGGACGGCTCCGTGGTCAGCCACCCCTCGCCGCCCGCGTCCCCTTCGGCGCCCTCGGCCCTGCGCCCGCACCCGCACGACCTCACCAAGTACAAGACGGAGCTCTGTCGGTCCTTTCAGTATAACGGCTTCTGCGGCTACGGCGAGTCGTGCCTGTACGCCCACGGCTCGCACGACCTCCGCACGTACCCGAAGCACCCGATGTACCGCACCAAGCAGTGTTTCAGCTTCCACCAGAAGGGCTACTGCCTCTACGGCAGCCGGTGTCAGTTCCTGCATGACCTTGAATGACAACTTTTCTTCGTTTTGTTCTTTCTTTCCTTCTTATTTTCCTGGCGTCTTCGATTTTCTTTCGTCTGATGCGTCTCCCGGGAGTGGCCACCTTCACCTTTCCTTCGCAAGACAAACCCGGCACCTGCGCCACACCACATCAATTTGTCACCCTCATCAGCTACTCGTCCCCACCATACACTCATCTCCTTTCACGCCCCCGCCAGCGCATCACCGCCATCTCCGCCACCCCGGCCCCATCATCGTCACACACCCTTGACGCTCGCGGTTAGTCGTCGGAAAAAAGGCTTCGGATATTTCAGAATATTGCAGATCTTTTTGGAGGGAGGAATGAAAAGCGTCCTTATTTTTTCAGGGAGCGGTCGACATGTTTATCGATTACTTTTGCAATATTCATGACCATTCGAGCAAGGTTGCAGCAGGAGGCTTGTGGGTAGAGGTCGGTCGCTGGCCCCGGAAATACTGGGAGCGATATTATCACGAATCTTATTATTGCTAATGACTACGATGAGGAATATACATGTTCCTTTTGTTACTAGTTCTATTTATTTAGTTGTATTAAGACAGTTTAAGGAAAAGTCACCTATTTATAAATTTCTTTCACTGTTTATATGTTGCATGCCTTAGATAACTAAGTATTTATATGTTATTTAAATATATTTTCTATTACTATTTAATAAAGCATATAAAGCTCTTTATCTTTTCCTTTGTATAAACTTTAGAATTATGATATTGAATAAATTGGTATATTGTGAAGAAACACCTGCTAAATATAGGCCTATTCCCACAAAACAACTTTATTTTTTTTTAATTCTCATTGTGTCTGTCTCCATCTGTCGCGCGCACGCCCTTGTTTCCCTGTGTGTTAAAATGAATCGCACTTCGCAATTCTCTTCCAAAATAACGATCTCCACAGCCGAAACCCCCCTTTCTCGCTCCCAAAGACAAGGAGTCGCAGCGAGAGCCACGGGTCCCGCTCTCCCATTCACCACTCTTGCTAATGGTCCCTCACAGACTTCGCTGATCCACGAGCCTCCAGCCACTTACACGGATGAACCCAGCTGTAATGCATTGTGACAGATGCTGTGATAAAGCTATTCTATTCTTTTCCCGCCTGTTATATAACCATTGTTCCGGAGGCTCGAATACTTTAGGGAGGAGATATACACATGCCATCAGGAGGGATTTGGGCGTGAGATGTGTTCCGGGACGCGGTTGCCTTCCTCGCTCTCTTCGGCTCTATTCCGTGCGAGATTCGGGTATCAGTTTGATTATTTTCGGGAGAGAGAAAGAGAAAGACAGACAGACAAACAGAGAAAGACAGACAGACAAACAGAGACAGACAGACAGACAGTCTGTCTGACTGACTCTGACTCTCTGTCTCTGACTGACTGTCTCTTCTGAATGACTGTCTTTGTCTGAATGACTGTCTCTGTCTCTGAATGACTGTCTCTGTCTCTGAATGACTCTGTCTCTGACTGTCTCTGTCTCTGAATGACTGTCTGTCTCTGAATGACTGTCTCTGTCTCTGAATGACTGTCTGTCTCTGAATGACTGTCTCTGTCTCTGAATCTGTCTCTGTCTGTCTGTGTTTCTGTCTGTATGTCTGTCTTTGGCTGTCTGTGTATGTGTGCGCACGTTTCTGTATGTGCAGAGAGAAGCCTTTGAAAAAAAACGGATACATTTTTCTTGTCATATACAAAGGCTTAACGCTTCAACCAAGAATACTGTTCAACTTGTGTATTATGAGCGTGTGAGGCGTTTAAAGAGACTGAATGTAGACTTTCAGACAAAGACTTCAATACATTACTCTTTGCCTCTGTTACTCTCTCTGCCTGTCTCCCTTTTGCTTTTTTATTTCTCTCGCTCTCGTTTTACCTTTCGTTATCTATTTTAAATTGACTCTCTCTCGCTCTGTCGCTCTTTCTCTCTTTCTCTCTCTCTCTCTCTCTCTCTCTCTCTCTCTCTCTCTCTCTCTCTCTCTCTCTCTCTCTCTCTCTCTCTCTCTCTCTCTCTCTCTCATTCTTCTCTCTTTCTCTTCTTCTCTTTCTCTCTTCTTCTCCTTTCTCTCTCTCTTTTCTCTCCTCTTTTTCTTTTCTCCCCCCTCCCCCCCCTCTCTCTCTCTCTCTCTCTCTCTCTCTCTCTCTCTCTCTCTCTCTCTCTCTCTCTCCTCTCTCTCTCTCTCTCTCTCTCTCTCTCTCTCTCTCTCTCTCTCTCTCTCTCTCTCTCTCTCTCTCTCTCTCTCTCTCTCTTCCTCTCGTTTTCTCTGTCTCTTAAATCAACTCATTCTCGCTCTCTTCGCTCTCACTCACTCTCTCTCGCTCATTCCCTCTTTCTGTTTCTGTTTGTTTCTCTATCTCTATCTCTCCCCCGAATTTTCTCTCTGGCACACTTTCTATTTTTTTTCTCTTTCTCATTCCCGCATTTTCTCTCTGGCACTCTCTTTCTCATTCTCTCCTCTCATCCCCTCCCTTTCCTTTCGCTCTCAGGATTCGTTAGGTTGGTGTCTTTTTTTCTTATTCATCGAGTGTTTGATAACTTCTGTGGAAATGCATTTATTATTCATATAAAGATGTTAAATATCCCAGTAATTTTCGGAAAGTTGACATGATCCGCGAAAGTGTGTGTGTGTATTAAAGGAAATGTCATATCAAAGAGAAGTTAAATATATATCTACATGTCTGTGCTATGTAGACATCTATCGTCATATCTGTTTTTTATCTTCATATATATGATATGTATACATCCATCTGTACAATCTTTTTATATTTATCTACTTATCTCTGTTATATACAATATCTATATATCAATATTTCTACCAATAGCTTTAAACCTTTTAGGAGACTCATTTACTGCACAGTCTGTGAGTACAATAATTTGCCGCAATATGTTGACTGCCGTTACACCAGAAGGATGTACATTATCGCAGTTACTAATACGATTACTATTATTTTTAAGGGAAATCAAAGTAAAAACCAAAGTTGACTGATTCATCAAAGCTAAATACCGGCATTTGATGATCGCGTCTTTCTTTTTTATTTAGGAAACAACCATTTTTGCTTTTAGAAGTAGTTTCAACTCCCTTACCCATCAACTTTTCAACATTAGATAGGCTGACGCATAGCAACTATCACGTGACATCACCTTTTACTATACCTATAATCCTTCTATAGTATACTTTATATAGTTTTCTTTATAGTTCTTTATATACTTTATATACTTTATATAGTATACTTTATATAGTTTCTTCCTATAGTATACTTTATATAGTTTCATCAACCTTGCCCATCAACTTTTCAACATTACTCTAGATTGTTGACGCATAGCAACTATCACGTGACATCACCCTTTACTATACCTTCCTATAGTATACTTACTTTATAGTATACTTTATATAGTTTCTTCCTATAGTATACTTTATAGTATACTTTATATAGTTTCTTCCTATAGTATACTTTATATAGTTTATATAGTATACTTTATATAGTTTCTTCCTATAGTATACTTATACTTTATATAGTTTCTTCTATAGTAATACTTTATATAGTTTTTCTTTCCTATAGTATACTTAGTATACTTTATAGTTTTTTCCTATAGTATACTTTATATACTTTATATTATATAGTATACTTTATATACTATATTAGTTTCTTAACTATAGTAACTTTATATAGTTTCATTCAACCTTGCCCATCAACTTTTTCAACATTACTCTAGATAGTTGACGCATAGCAACTATCAACAGTGACATCACTTTACTATACCTTCTAAGTGCTATATATGACCTTAGATATCTAGCACATTTATTTCGCTTTTAACCATTAACCATTTTAGAAGTACTTTGGAGCTTTTATATGATAAATTAATGGTAAGATCCATACGTAAGAACTTTATACGTACGTTCCTTGAGACAGATATAGAAAAAATACGGGAAGGAAAAAAAATATATAATATCTTTATAGGCAGTGTATTCGCTTCATTTCTAAAAGATGTAGATGATATTGAAGCGCGTTAGATACACCTACCTCTTGCGCTGTGAATATATTCCCATTCATACTTTTTTTTTTCCTGTATACTCGTACGCGCGTTCATAAGTACCAACGCCATCTGTTAGTTAGCAGCGATAACTTGCATTGACGTCTGGAGTTGCCGTATCGTGTTTTGGGATTAACTTTATGCTATATATATTTCGATAAATCCTGGGTGTTCTAAATACTTAGTTCCATTGATATTTCCCGCTCAACTGGGAAAGGATTCAATCTTTTTATTTCATTATGCACCTTAAAATGCGCATTACTCCGTACTTAATATCTCGGCGCGCAATCCCTCTGTATTCAAATCTCCTTCCTCTCCTTCTTTCCCTCTCTTCTTCTCTCCCTCTCTCCTTTTCCTTCTCCCTCTCCCTCTCTCCTCTCTCTCTCTTCTCTCTCTCTCTCTCTCTCTCTCTCTCTCTCTCTCCTCTCTCTCCCTCTCCTCTCTCTCTTCTCCTCTCTCTCTCTCTCTCCTCTCCCTCTCCCTCTCCCTCTTCCCTCTCTCTCCCTCTCCCCCCCTCTCCCTCTCTCCCTCCCTCTCCCTCTCTCCCTCCCTCTCCCCTCTCTCCCTCTCCCTCTCCCTCTCTCCTCTCCCTCTCCCTCTCTTTCCCCCTCTCCTCTCCCTCTTCCCCCCTCTCTCTCTCCCTCTTCCCCCCTCTCTCTCTCCCTCTCCCTCTCCCTCTCCCTCTCCTCTCTCTCCCTCTTCTCCTCCTTCTCCCTCTCCCCTCTCCTTCTCCTCTCCCTCCCTCTCCCTCTCCCTCTCTCCCTCTCCCATCAAAGGGCAGCCCAGAGAGGCAGTCAATAAAAATCAAAATATATTATATGCACCTAATCGTTTGATTCAGTAAGATTTTGATGCTTTTTAGGGCGCAGGGTCGAGTGACGTCTAAACAGGGTTTTTTTTTTATCATGTATTGTGGGCTAACTGACGTCTAGATGGTTTGTGTTATATTGTATTTATATTTCCTT